TGTTTGTTTTCCCCGAGACAGGTTTTCTCTGTTGCTTTGGAGCCTGTCCTGGAACTAGCTCTTGTAGACCAGCCTGGCCTCGAACTCGCAAATATCAGCCTGCCTCTGCCTCCCAAGTGCTGTAATTAAAGGCGTGCGCCACCACCACCCGACTTAGTAATTTGTTTTTCAAGACATGGTTTCTCTGTGTACCTCTGGTTGTCCTAGAACTTGCTTTGTAGACGACGCTGACCTCAAACTCAAAGAGAGCCCTCTGCCTCTGCCTCTTGAGTGCAGGGATTAAAGGCATGAGCCAACACTGCCCAGCTGCAAGTTGATGTTTTAAATTTGACCAACATTAGACTGTGGTATGAGAGCTGCCTTTTTTTTTTTTTTAAAGATATTGAACCTTCTTATTCATGAAAATGATCGCTTTATTGTGGATTTAGTCAATTATTTGATTTCTTGCAGTAGTGGTTTTTTTTTTAAATTTATTTTTATTTTAAATTATTTGTATGTGTGTTGCTTGTATACGTGTGTTTGGTACTTTTTAGAGGCCAGAGAACATCATGTCTCCTGGAGCTGAAGTTAGAAGCACTTTTAAGCCACCAGATGTGGGTGCTGGGAACTAACTTAGGTTATCTCTTTCATCCCTGCTGAGCCATCCGGCCATCCAGTCTAGCAGCGGTGTTTCATGGTTACCAGTTTAGGGCAAATTTTGTTAAGCTTCTCCCTGAAATGTCTTGGTTTTGTTTGCTTGTTGTTTGTTATGAAATTGTAAATGGCATTGGTTTTTAAATTTTCATTATTCAACTGTTAGTTTATAAAGTTGATGTGATGCATGTATTGTGTTCTGTTCTTGTTAAAATGTAGTTAATAAATTCTTCAGGTTTTTCTTTTAGGTACACAATTTTATCATCTCTGAGTGAAGTGGTCTACTTCTCTTTTAGTTTGGATGTATTTTATTTCTTACTATACTGCTTTAAACTTTGATTAACAGCAGTGTTTTCACCATGAGCTATAATGGTGACGGAGGCTTTTTATGCCTTTTATCAGATTGAGGACATTCCCTTCTAGTTTAACTTTGCAGACTTTTTAATGATCATGAATGGGCAAGGAAGTTTGTTAGATGCTTCTTCTGCATCTTTTGAAATGGTCACCTGAGTTCTAGTGTTGTTACTTTTACATCCCTGGAACAAGCTCTTTTTAAATATTATCTTGTTATAGTTTGTGTGTAAATACTGCATTTGAGGAATTTGATCTGTGATATTGTTGTGTCATTGTTTGGTTTTAGTATCAGGAGAATGCTGCTTCAAAAATATTTGGAAAGATTCTTCCTCTGTTTTGCGAGTGTTTGCATATATTATTTTTCTGGTTCAATGGATTTTTATCAGTTAAACACAGTAGATTTGCAATTTTTGTTTCAGGAAGTTTTAAATTATGAATTCAATTTTTAAAGCATGTATAAGGACTACTTAGATTTTCTGTTTCTTTTGTTGGGTTTCTTTGAAATTGTTCAGCTTAAAGTTGCTGTAGATTCCTTTGTAGTCCTTTAATATCTATTGGGTCTGTATATGATTTTCCGTCTTTCACTTATACTAGTAGTTTGTGTTTATTGCTGTCTTTATTTTTTAATAAGTCTGGCTAAATCGTTATCAATTTAATATCTTTTTTTTCTTCAGAGATAGGGTTTCTTTGTGTAGCCTTGACTGTTCTAGAACTAGCTCTGTAGACCAGGCTGGCCTTGAACTCACAGAGACCCCTCCTGCCTCAGTCTCCTGAGTCCTGGGATTAAAAGCATGCACCACTACCTCCAAGCATGTTTTTATTTTCATTCAATTTAAAATACTTTAAAACTTCACATGTAGAAATTTGCCCTATGTATTAAAAACATGTTTTGTAATTAATAAATATTTGGAGATTCCACAGATACCTTTATGCTGTTGAAGTCACATTTAATCTTGCCTAGGTTAGAAAACTTATAGTTCATTATTTAAATTACTTATTGGAAGTAATTGTATAATCCCATATATGGTCTATTTTAGTGATTGTGTATTCTGCCATTTTGGGGTGGAATTTTCTGTAGTCTGTCTTGTCAAATTTGTTAATATTGTTTTTCAGATCTTTTAAAGCCCTAATAATTGTATGGTTTTATTGTGTTGATGCTGAGAGAAGAGTGGTCTAGAATGTGCCATTAGGTAAAAGTTGGGAGATTGTAGAGTTTACTCCATTGAAAGTTCAAAGACTGTAGAATTTATTTTATTGGTTAGTGATTCCATCTCTCAAAGACTCGTACTGTCCCTTGCTCTGTGTAGTCCAGCATCTGAAAATAGTATCAATGCCTCCCCCCACCCCAGCTTTTCTAGTTGTTTAGTAAATGGACAAATCTGTTGATATTTATCCTTGCACTGTATCTTTTAAGGATTTCTTTGCCTTTGAATAGTGTCTCATTATGTAGACCTAGCTGGCCTTGAACTCATAGATCTACCTACTTGTTCTACTACCAGTGATCCTCTTTTAAGACTTTTTAATCTAGACAATTTTCTTTACCTGTTTTCTTGTAACTTTTGTTGAAGAAATTGTGTTTACTCAGTTCAGGTTTTGCTGGGGCATACTGTGATAGAATTTGGCATAATTTTCTCTCTACAGTTTATAAAGTATAAGTATAAAGCAGTTGGAATCTAGAGTAGAGTAATGTTATCTTGTCCTTTTGAGGCTGTCTGGGCTAGAGAGATGGTTCAGTGCTTAAGAGAGCTGGCTGCTCTTCCAAAGGACCAGGGTTCAATTCCCAGCACCCACATGGCAGCTCACAACTGCCTTTAAGTACAGTTCTAGGGACTCTGATACCCTCATAGGGACATACTTGCAGGCAAGAGTGGGCTGTTCTATGCTTGAAGGTGTTTAGCATGCCCATGGGTTTTACCCACTAGATGTCAGTAGAACCCCTTCCTCCACTGTGACAACCAAAAATGACTCCAGATGTTAAATGCTTTAGGACTGTGTTTTGCTATGAAAAATAGAGGCTGCCTAATACACAACACACTTAGGAATGTGAAAACATCTGCTTAACAAAACTAGCAATCAGGTGATATCACCATTATATATAGGAATATAATTATTCAGACATTTTGAAGAGAGTGTATAAAGGACATTTAGAAATTTGATGCTTCACAGAATGGAAATTCACAGGAACTAAATAGAGTGCAAGTTACCATTTTAGGAAAGAAAAATGCTAGAAACAGTCAAACAAAGAATGGTAAAAACACAATAATTCCTTTTCAATTATAGGTTGCTTACAGAATGATTTTTCTGCAACTTATTGAGAAATTTGAGATGTTGGATTTCTGGTTTTTACTTTTGTGAGGGGGCTTTATAGTTTTATTATAAATCAATTTTAAGTAGAAAAGTATTATTTCAGTGTTGTGCTTTTTATGCTTAAACTTATTTGTGTCATATAAAATTACTTTAAAATATAGATTTATAAGATAGTCCTTTTAATTTAAAAATGAGCTTATTTTAGTGAATATTTGCAAATATCCTTTAGATGAAGAATGGTAACTAATATTCTTTAGATGACTGAAGTATTAAGTTTGTAAGATACCAGAATTTCCCATAACCAACCCTACTTATAATGTAACATCTCATATCCATTCACCTATTCTGTGTCAGGTTCTGTGGACAGTGGCTGGCTGATTGGATAAAGGTGGAGAGAATTAGAGTCAGATCTCCTGTAGAAAATGTCAACAACCACTCAGGGCAGATGGTTTTCCAAGACCATCTTCTCTCTGTAGCCCTGGTTGTTCTGGAACTCGCTTTGTAGAGTTCCTAATTAACCTCAAACTCAACAGAGGACACCCCCCCCCCCACCTCTGCCTCCTCAGTGCTAGGATTAAAGGTGTGCACATGGCACATACTTTCTTCTCTTGATGTCCTTGGCCTTCAGAATCCTTTCTTCTCCCTTAGTTTTGAGTGACCAGTGGTTTCATGAGTTGTTCATGGTGCATTATTCTTCTCCAGTGATATTTAAGGGAATGTTGGTTTTTTTAAAGAAAACATGTTTTCAATATTATTATTGCTTTAAATTTTGATATAGTTAAATTTGCTGCTTTATTAGTACATTTTAAACAATTAAATCTGAAAAGCTAAAACAGAAACTGTAGTGCTAAGTGACCAAGGAGCACTTGTTCTCCAACTGTCTCTGCTAGGTAACAGCCCAAAGTATGCTTGCCTTATTACTTCCCCTGTCTTTGCTTGTTTCTCCCGTGGTGGTTTGTTTGTTTGTTTGTTTGCCTTAATTCTACAACCCACGATTTTTTTTCTCCTCTCCCCACACTACCCTGGATCCCTTTGCTCCAACATGTGGTCATTTTTTTGTCTCCCCACTATTCTCATAGGCACCTTCCCCCATGTTTTCCTCTCTATTCATGTATTGAATTCAAGAGCCCTTGTATTCTGGGGACCCTGCTGATTTTCTGTTTGTTTGCTTATTTATTTACTTATCTATCTATCTACTTATTTATTGAGGGATGTTTCTCTGTGCAACAGCTCTGGATGTCCTGGAACTCACTTTGTAGACCAGGCTGGCCTCAAACTGCCTCCCAAGTGCTGGAATTAAAGGCATGAGCCACCATGACCCGCCAGTGTAGCTCATTCTTTTGTAAGTGTTGGGCTAGGCCGTGTTACAAGTTACCTGTGAGGAGCCTTTGTCTTCCTCTTTATCACTCCGGGTTTGGCGATGGGGGATGAAAGTGGTCCAGGAAAAACAGATTAATCATCCTAGAGCTCCCATCAGCCAAATCCAGTTCTCAGGTGACTTTTCCTAAGCACTGTCTCCAGTAAGGAGACCCTGTCAGGCCAAAAACTGTTGACAGACAGACTAGGACTATCACACCCTGGGCTCCTCTACCTGTTGTTTGCGCTGCCACCGCCCCCACGAGTGTGAGCCAATGGACTGGGCTCCAGGGGGTGGGCTGAGGCGGGATGAGGGTGGGGCCAGGGCGGAGCACCGCTGAGGCAGCTGCTGCGCGGCAGTGCTGGCTTAGCCCGGCATGGGGGATGGAGGCAGCAAATTTCTGCTCTAGGCGGCTACAGCCGCGAGGCCGTGAGAGTTCCTCTGGAGTTGGCGCTGGAGATACAGGATGGAGCCCCGGGGTGAGTGAGGGGCGGTGGTGCTCGGTTCCACTGAGGCTGCTGGGTTGGGGTTCCTGTGAATTGCTGTCGAGCCTGGGTCCGAATACGAGCTTCGGAACTGGACTGTGAACACCGACCTGTGGGGGTGAGCAGACCCAAGTAAAGACGCGCAGTTAGGGCATATTTTCCTACAGTGTTCTGAAACTTCACACATTATAACTCCTTTAATTCTCAGGACAGGTCTCATCCCTCAATTCATTTCTTACACGGGAAAGGTGAGGTTAAAAGCTGTCCATACAAAGTAGTATTTGCCAGGATCAAGGCTTTAAACCTAGGCGCCCTTGCCCCAGAATCCATGCTCTGGAACACAGTCTGCTCCCGCCAACCCGCCTGCAATTCTCACTCCAGATGGGTGCTCAGTTCCGAGGTATTTTAGGAGTTCCGTCGTGCGTATTCTCATCTGGTTTGTGTTTAGAAGGGTGTTCTTTTTGAACGCTCCTCAGTGTCACGGTGTGTTCTAATTTTGCTTTGGATATGTTTGGAGGTTTGATGGTTTAATTGTAAAACGTGTTAGGAGGGACGTGCTCGGGATTGAGGATTTTGGAAGTGGAATCCTAGTTGCTGTTGACAGTCTCTGCTTATCAGTTTTTCACTCCTGGGAGATAATTCACCAAACACCTTTTTAGAGAACAGACGTCACCTGCTAAGGCTTTCGACTCGGTGACTCTATCTCTTGTCTATTGTGTCCTTTTGTCGGTCGCTATCCATGTTTACTGTCCCTTTTCGTTTCTTTTTTCTTTTCTCTATATTTAAATCAGGGATGGGGAACGTGTGCTTTGGCGTTTTGTAGCTTTGGCTGCTCAGAAGTGCGCTTTCCCTGCCAGGAATGCTAAACATTCTGAAGGCGTGGGAGGCAGGGCAGCGCCCCCTCTCCCCCCCTCCCCATTTCCCCCACCATCACCTTTGTAAAATTTTTATTCTTTAAAATTATCATGCTGGATTTAAACTGCACAGAAATGAAGTGTATGTGTGTTCTGTGTCTTACTTTAGAAATTGTTAAGAATAAAGCTGTTTCTGACATGTTCCCATTCCGTTTTTGTAGAGTGCTTTTTAAAAGTATAATTAAAGACATTTAGACTTGTCTCTGTGTTTTTTGCAATGTTTTTAAATAGATTCTCAAAAACTCAGAAATTATGTTGAAATAGCAGAGTTCTGAAGTTTATGTAACTTTTAAAAGTGTAAGTAGGAAGAATTAAAGTACACATATTTGGGGCACTTTTACATTCCAGTTAGCTTTCTGATTCTGTCATATACATTATAGAGTGTGTGAGGGAATTTTGATTGACACGGACTGCTGAAGCCTTGTAAAAGTCACCATTTGGGAGTTTAGGAAATTTGTGTGCACGGTTTTTTTCCTAGTGGTTGGTTAGACCCAGGGCCTCTTGCCAGGCAGGGCTTTCCCACTGAGCTATGAATCCATATTTGTCATGCACATATGATTTAAAGCTTAGAGTGTACAAAGTAGTTTTTGTATGTTTTCTACTAGCTATAAAATTCCTTAAGACATAGATAATACAATTTTTAATGTTCATGGCTTGGAGTTGGAAGAGATGAGAATTAGTTTCACAAGTATTTTGTTCAGCAGTCTGTTTGCACAGTTCAAACTTCACTTGGAAGCATTTACTAGGTTTCCATGAAATCAGTTAAGCTTTTGGAATTGTTTCCAGTCCTATATTTCTTGCTTACAATCTATAGACTTATGAAGCCACAGCTGTTTATTACTTAAATATGTTTAAGAACAATTTCCCACAATAAAGTACTCTAGTAATAATAACTCACAATTACTGAGTCTTCATGCCAGGCACTGTGCTAAGTACTTTCCATGCATTACTATCTAATTTAATTAAATTACCAGTTGCAATCTATTATTAACTATACTTTATATTACCACTAACCAGGGAATATTCATTTTGGCGCATGGGAAAGTAGTGTATAGGATCTTGCAGAGTGTATATTGTCCAGACTTTCTCATTGTCATAGTTCAATTATGAAAGTACGATTTTAATTTTAAACATCTTTTCAATTGTAATGTTACCCCTTTAAAGTTTTAAAAGAAAAACTGTGAAAACTTTCTAAAACTTAGTACATTCAGTATAATGCATATTTCAAGCCTTTTCCCCCATATGTGTTCATTTGTATGTTAACAGATTTTCTAAGTCTAGTCTAAAGGTTAGAAGCCTTTTTGAAACAAAGTTTACAACTTTGAGTTGCTAATTTGACACACATTGTTCTGTTCTTTTTATTCATGAATTGTTTTTAAACTTGTTATGTCTTTTGTTTCTTAAAGTCTTTTTATCAGTGGCTGTGACTAATTGTCTAGTTTACTAAATTTAAAGGCACCATAAACAAACAGAAAGATTTTATTATGTAAACTGCAAAGGTGATAAAGTTTGGTAGCATATTAGTAGCATCTTCAGTGCTACTAAAGATCTGCCCAAACAATATACTGTAGTATTATTTTATTTATTTTTGTTAGTTGAAATGGATACTTTAATATTAATGACCAAAAATTATCCTGGGTTCATTTTGGACATTAAACATTTAAGGAATAATTTGAGTTTTAAAGTTGATTTAAATATACAAGATATAGGTTTAAATAATTTGAAATTGACAAAACACATTGACTAAAGGAATTTTTAAAGCTATTAAAAGGTAATAACATCCTATTTACATAATCAGAGAAATACTAATACTACTTTCAGGCCTGGTGTGGTAGTGCATGCCTTTAATCTCAGTACTCAGGGAGGCAGAGTCAGGTGGATTTCTGTGAGTTTAAGGTCAGCCTGTCTACAGAGTGAGTTCAAGGACAGTCAGGGATACACAGAGAAACCCTGTTTGAAAAAAACAAAACTTAAAAAAAAGAAATACAACTTTGATTTTTGTTTTATGTAATTTTGTGCCTTAGTATAACTTCATATGCTTCTTTTAAAGAATATTTTAGGGATAGAATTTTAAGTGATTTTTCTCTTAAATATTACAACGTAATTTTGTGTTTTCTATAAAATTATTACAGTAAGCTTGCAAGCCTGTTCATTACTATTCTTGCTAATTCATTCATTTTGCAGACAGTTCAAAGTAGGCCATCCCTAATATGCTTACTGTAGTGTAAGCACAGAATACATGGTTAACAAGCCGTTATGGTCTTGATTGTAGTCTAGATCTGGAATTATCGGAGAAGGCATTTATTTGAACTATAGTAAATACAAAGTGAAATTTTCAGATACTGCAGGACTACTGGAGATTTGATCAGGTGGGTGGTGGTGATACAGGAAGATTTCTTTAAGAGAATGATTTTTGAGCTGTCAGCGAAGTAAACTCGGGAGTAAAATCTGAGAGTGTCCAGGTGGATGAAACCTCATGTGATGGACAGGATCCTCAGCTAAAAAGATGAACTAGGGGCTGAAATAGAGATAGCTGAGGGCCTAAGAGAACACACTTCTCTTATAGAAGAACTAAATTTTGTTTCCAGTAGCCATGTCAGGCAGCTTACAACCGCCTGTAACTCCTGCTCCATGGGGATCCAGGTCAGCTTCTCTGGCCTATTTGGGTATCTGCACTCGTGTGTGCGCGCACACACACACACACACACTCACACACAATAACTGAATATAAATAATAATAAAAATAAATAAAATATGAATAGGATAGAATAAGAAAGTATACAAATATGTCACCTGGGCCCTTAGAATATATGTTTTGTGAAACAGATGCATTTGTGTGTACTGTGCATCAGATGACACACTCTGTGTGTGCTATGCATCAGATGACACACTCTGTGTGTGCTATGCATCAGATGACACACTCTGTGTGTACTATGCATCAGATGACACACTCTGTGTGTACTAGTCATGGTGCATAATTGCTTCATGCTGTGTCCTTTAGTAAACAAAAATGGTCTGAAAATGAAAAGGGTGTGTGTGGCAAAATGTGAGCCCAGATGTTTTTGTAGAGGCAGATCGGAGCCAGCTATCATTTTGAACCTCATACACTGTGGCGTTTACCTCTGTCCTTTTGAAAAATACTGAGCAAAGAAGGAATACTAAGAGATATGTTTCATAGGTTCATAACACAAAAATGCAAGTTGACAAATCCTTAGGAAATTAGGATAGTAGTTTAATAAGAAACAATGGTAGTTCGTTAGTGTAGTACCGGTAAAAGTAAGAGGGGTAGACTAAAGAATTGTAATTGGAAACCAAAAGTCTAATATGTCAGATATGTTATGAATAGACAATGTATCTTACATTTAGCAAAGATATTATTACATGCAACTTTCTTCTGTTTATTACATGGAGGTCCTCAGCTGTTCTGTCATTCTGAAAGTATCCAAATACTCATAGCATGTTTGGAAAACTTTTTAATGATGTTTGAACTAATTTAATATTCCTTTTTTTTTTCCCTATTGAGGCAGGGTCTCTCTACATACATAGTCCTGGCTGTCCTAAAGCTCACTATGTTGCCCAGGCTGGCCTCTCTTACCTCTGCCACAGGATTGCTGGGATTAAAGGTGTGCACTGCCATACCAGGCTTTTTTTTTTTTTTTTTTTTTTTTGCCTCTCTTGTTTGCTTCATGGTTTCAAGAGATGTAACCAAAATTAGGACTTTCAATTCTGGAATGTTTAAAGATAAAAGACAAAAATTTGAGTTCCAATAGATTGGGCTTAGATGTCTTAACAGAAAACCCCCCTTTTTTGTGTGATCTCTTTTAATCTTCATGTAAGCCTACAAATTAATTATATAGATTACTCATCTGGGATTACATATTTGGTATTAGTTTTTTCTTACACCAAATATTGCCCCTTAACTATATCATCTTGAAATTACAAAACAAATTACTCTCATAATCGCAAATTTATTTGTTCAGTCATAGTATGTGAGATTATTGGCCATTCTTTGAGCTTCTTTCAACAAAGAAATTTTCTTGACACGTTTTGATAAGCTAGATATGTACGTGTTCATGTATATGCATTCTCAGAAAATGACTCTAATTGAGCTAATGTGCTGACTGTACACTTGGGTGTCCTTCTCTTGTCTAACTCTGATAGTAATCTCTGGAGCAGGTGTGGTCAGTGTGTTCTCCATAAATGAGCATAGCACAGTGAAGACATGATTTAACAGCTGTGTGGTCACACAGTAAGCGGGAGACGAAGATTTGGTAAACTTTTCTCTCAAAATATGTCTCATCTTTAGTTTTGAAGGCAATTCTGCAAAGGGAAAATATGACCTTCTTCTGAGTGATGCCTCAGGAGTATCTTTACAATTTTTTTTTTTAAAAATCTGTATCTTAAAAATTAAAGCCAGAGGCCAGAGAGCTGGTTCATCAGTTAAGAGCACTTCCAGGGGACCTGAGTTCAATTCCGAGCACCCATATGGCAGCTCACAACTGTCTGTAACCCCAACTCCAGGGATGTGACACCCTCACACAGACATGCATGCAGGCAAAAGACCAGTGTACAAAAAATAAAAGTAATAAATAATTTTTTATAAAGAATTAAAGCCAAGTAATTGTGAACACAGATTCGGGTATCACGGCTTATCTAGGTTTTCACTTAAGTTATCAGTTGAGAATATATGTATGTTTTACTCTCTGAACCTCAGCTTCCATACATTGTGAAGTGAAAAGAAAAGTAGCTTGCACATCCTAGGGTTTGCTTGTCATAGAGAGTTGTCAGATTGTAGACATTTAATGGAGGCTGCTGTCATTCATAGTCCAGTGTTTTGTCTAAAACTAGAATACTAAGGTGGGTTGTGGGCTATTATTGAAACCTAGTATGATGCTGCTTGGCTGATGTAGTATTTTCCTCTCTCTGTTTTTTTGTCCCCTTAAGGATTTCAGTTTTTCTGACTGTTAAGTGAGAGGATGATTGCTCACAAACAGAAAAAGGCAAAGAAAAAACGTGTTTGGGCATCAGGCCAACTCTCTGCTGCCGTTACACCTTCTGAAATGGGGCTCAAGTCCGTAAGTTCCAACTCCATTTTTGATCCGGAATACATCAAGGAGCTGGTGAATGATATCAGGAAGTTCTCCCATATGTTACTATATTTGAAAGAAGCTATTCTTTCAGGTTTGTCAACTGTTTTCTCAGTATTGTTATGGGTTAATTTGTAAAACCTAAAATCAGCCTAGTCATGATAAATATGCATACAATGGCAAGAGCAGGGCATTCTTCATTACTAATTTTTTACTCCCCCCATGTTAAATGCTTACAATGTAAATGTTTTTGTAGTCAGATAACAGTATAATAATATAAGCCTTGTTAAGTGTGAGGGAACAAGAGCACAAAAGAAAAAATAGTTTTGAATTTCAAGCAGTTAAGTATGTTTTTACGTTGGCTCAGAACTTGAGAACACTGAAGTTTTAATAATCCTGGTAATAATTACTGATCTGTGATAAACAGACAAACTAACAATTGGTAATTTACATTGCTGACACTTTTTGTCTAAAGTTTGCTTTTTATATTTTTGCCAAAATTTAATCTAAACTGACTCAATGAATTTTTTCTTAATAATAAACTTAATGTTCTGATAATCTGTAATCTTCCTGAAATAAGGAATAAGCACAGAATTTATTCTCTTACCTAATTAGAATGGGTAATGAAACATGAGACTTGATTCTCCTGAAGCAAAGAACTGCATATCACTCACTTGACTGGAGAACCTAAGTCTTTCAGTGAATGCCACTTGAACATCCACATTTGATGTCAGTGAGAATTAATGTTCCAGAGACCATCCTCTTCTTTAGTGATAAATAGCAGTTCACAGTGGCTTTTTCAGACATGGAGGGTAAAAATCTCTGCTGTTTATATGACCCTCTTGGGCCTCATAGAAATTTATCAGATTTCAGTAAATATGTTTGGGCGTATAACTAGAACACTTACTTTCTAAAACTATATCTTAGGTTTGTACTGAGTTTGTTTTCTTTCTAATTTAACTATAATTTTCAGCCTGAAATTTCCAAAATAATTGGATTGAAATGGAAGGTTCAAAATTTTAGTATTTACATTTGCCATCATGTATTCTTTGGGATTGTGTAAATATTATTAAAGAAATTGCTCACAGTCCTATTTAGTTTAATAGCTTGATCTTGACTAACTTGATCTTGTCTAACTATGGATGAGTAGACGGCAGTAAAGCTAGAAAGACACTGTGAACACATTACTGTACTCACTACATCTCCACACTGACAAACTTGCCATTTAGTCAGAGGAATATGGCATCATAATAAAGTCTTGTTTTTAACTAGGATATTTTTAAGTTGTCATTTTTATTCTTTTTGATGTATAGTCTATTACTGGTTGATTTTAAACGTTATCTAAAATGATATCTTAGGTATTATATTATTTACCTCAGTTGTGGTAATGTGTGATTTAATGTTTCCAATTAAGTAAGTTTAGTTATCTTTTGTTTCACAGATTTAAAATAAGTTGTGTCACTTTTTATCTAAAAATTTGAGTTTCATTCAATGTATGAGTAGATAATCCAGAGACTAAGAAGATTCTCACCAGTCCTCAGAAAGAAAAGTATATATTTGTATACTTACATAAGTATAAGATACAGAAGGAGACTACTCTTTGAGATAAAAGGGTTCATGTAGGCCTCTTGGTGGTGGTAGTGATGGCGGCACACACCTTAATCCCAGCACTAGGGAGGCAGAGGCTGGTGGATCTCTGAGTTAGAGGCCAGCCTGGTCAGAGCAAGTTCTAGGACAGCCAGGACTACACAGAGAAACCCTGTTGTGAAAAACAAAACCCAGAAAAGGTATATGTGGAAGTAGATTTATTCAGTGAAATTTAATTTAAAGATCGGTATGCACATTATTCTTTTAGTAAGAAAGTTAGTACTTAAGGCAATAGATTATCACTACTACCTCAAAAACTTTTAAATTAGAGTTTTGTTTATTTGTTTTTTTTTTTAATGACAAACCAGTGTCAGTAAAGTAGCTCAGTGATAGAGTGCTTGCCTCACAAGTATGAGAATAAGAGTGTGGAAGCCAGGCAGTTCTAGCACTGGTGGCAAAGATAGGACACTAGAGACAAGCTGACTGGTGAGCTGTGTTCAGTAAGACACCTTCAAAGTGGAGAGAACACACAGAAGATACTCTGAGTCAACTTGAGGCCTCCACACACAGCATGCATGTGCATGTGTGCACCCATAGGAACATATGTGTGTGAATTCCTGTAGTGCAAGAAGGGGCGATGGAGAAAGGCTGAAGTGAGACATGGTTCAGTGTATTTATTTATCTTCAAGTTTTGTAATACAGAGTATCCCCTTTTTCCCCCAAGATTTAACAAATTTTTATTTGTGTCCTAAGCAGAACTATGACGTTCATTTTAGTTGTTTTTACGAACTAATTGGAAGAAATAAGTAATTATCAAAGACCTCTGAATTCCTAACAGGAGATCCGTAGTTTCACTCCTGTGTTCTCTTCCTCCCTCCTCCCTTCCCCTCCCCCTCCATTGCCCCCTGTACCTCATCTGCACATGCTCTAGCTGACTCTAAATTTACAAATAAACGAACTCCTTAAAGTGAAAGATCCGAGGACTGAACACATGCTCTACCTAAGATATGTGAATGAGTCAGGTTTTCCTTCACTGCTTATCTCTAAGGTGAGGTTTCCCTGTAGTCTTAGACATTAGCAGGTGTGGAATTTTAAGTTTGAGATTTCTATCTAGTGTCATTAAGGTACATTATGAATAATTAAAGGGATAAATTGTGTATCTTATATTAAAAGACTGAAGGTACTCACTTATGCACATGTACTTTGCATTTAATTATGTAGATTTATATGTTTAATTGTAGATTAACATATATGGAATATAAGTATTAATTCAAGTTTGCACACCTTCCCGCCACCCAGTAGGAATAATCTATTCTGCTTTCCAGATAACAAATTCACAAATGTTCTCCTAGTTTATGCAGTAATTTTTAGAAAAGACTTACTTTGTATGTGTAAGTTGTTTTGCCTATGTGTATACCACATGTGGTACGTGCTCATAGGCCAGAAAAGGGTGTAGGATGCTCCTAGAGCTGGAGTAATAGAAGTTATGAGCTACCTGATGCGGATGCTGGGAACCAAGCCCCCACGTCCTCTGCAAAGAGCAGCAAACGCTCTTAACTGCCATCATTATATTATTATAACTACATATATATAATATATATATTATAACTACATATTATAACTACATTATATTGTAGTTTTAAAGCATTCCTCTGAAATCTAGGAATTTGAAAATTTTAAGACTGTTTAATTACATAGACGAAATACTGCAAAATGTTTAGTTTTTCTGCTACTTCATGTTTGAAAATGTAGAATGATATAAAATATATTTATAGGAAAAACAAGTTGTGATTGTTCTTGTAACTTTGCTTTTGTTTATATACCATGATTTTTAAATGAATTTTAATTGGAGTCTGCCAATGTAAGTATGGTACTTTGTCCTCATTTTTGCTGTGCTGTGCTGTTTTGTTTGAGACATGGTCTTACTATGAAGCTCAGGTTGAACTTGAACTAGTGACTTCCTTCTGAGCCTCTTAGTTCTGGAGATTAAAAGTATACATCTCAGCCGGGCAGTGGTGGTGCATGCCTTTAATCCCAGCACTCGGGAGGCAGAGGCAGGCGGATCTATGTGAGTTCGAGGCCAGCCTGGTCTACAAGAGCTAGTTCCAGGACAGGCTCCAAAGCCACAGAGAAACCCTATATTGAAAAACCCAAAAAAAAAAAAAAAAAAAAAAACCACCACCAACAAAACGAATACATGCTTCACCTTCTCTCCTCTCTCCACCTTTCCTTTTTCAAAGTTTTTTAAATAGACGGGGATGGAAGACACGAGTTTATTATGAAAGCCAGGTATGGAGGCGCACGCCTTTAATCCCCGCACTTGGGAGGCAGAGGCAGGCGGATCTCTGTGAGTTAGGGAGTCTGGTCTACAGAGAGAGTTCCAGGATAGCCAGGGCTACACAGAGAAATCCTGACTCAGGGAAAAACAAAGCAAAACAAAAAAATCCATCAACAACAACAAAATGTTTACTATGAGAGTCAGACTAATTAGTTAAATTGTCAAATTAAAACAAAAACAACTTTGGAGACTGGAGAGATGACTCTTAGCCAGTGGTGGCTCATATTTTTAATCCTAATACTTGGGAGGCAGGTGGATCACTGTGAGCTTGTGGCCAGCCTGGTCTACAGAGTGTGTTCCAGGATAGCTGGGTCTACACAGAAATCCTGTCTTGAAAAATAAAACAAAAACAAACCTGACACACAATTCTTAAAGTTGTGACTTATAACAAATCCTAGGTTCTAGATTTGACAGAACCATAGTCAGAAGAGATTATTAAGTTTCTAAAACAAGTTTTATTGACTAGCAGACATTAACTAAAGTGTTAATATGATGAATAGCATGGCCTGTTGTGATACATTCTGTATGGATTCAGTTTCAGTTAACATCCTGACCTGTAGGTTAACTCACTTTTCCCCACGGGATGTGTATGGGATGTGTAGCATCTTAGACTGTCCATTTTTACCATCAGCAGCTAATTAAAGCCTCTCAGTCTGCCAGTTTGTAAGAAACTAGGAACATTAGGCTGCTACCCTTACCTGTGTTCTGGTCTATGTCTGTCTCCGAGAAGTATCTTTAGACAGACTTTCAAATCTGTGTCACTAAGAGATGTTAATGTGAACGTTAATTGGGTGTGGTTCAGTGGCTAAAACGTGCAGTAAATTTCCAAGAAATGAAGGGTGGAATACAAGTAGAGCTCATTTATTATACTTGTACCGCTTCTTATGGTATTTTGGTATTCTACATTTGACTAGAAGGAAATTCTAGGGTTTAACAGCATTTATAGTAATAACTTATATATTTAATGGAAGTTAAAGCCTGCTAAATCATGTGTTGCAGAGTATCTATCAGTAATCTATAATTTCTTTATCCACATGGCAGTTTATCATAAAGATTCAACTCATGGATGATGTGATACTCCCAGGACTTGGGAGGCTGAGGCAGGAAGATGGCAAATTCAAGGTTACATATATTGCAAGACCCTATCCCAGTGAAACAGCTGCAAGCTGTAGGTAGGACCCCTGCCTCAGAGTCCTCACTGTGCCTCTTGATGGCTCTCTGTAGTCTGAACCAAGGTATTTCTGTTAACAACAGGGTCATTTCTTTATGATCCTTTACTAGTTACAAGGTGGCAGGAGCACTACCCTCACTGGGTTTCTGTTACTGAGTTTTTCATGTAAAACTCGGGATAAGTGCTTTAGATGTCAGCTGTTGGGGCTTTAGAGTTGCTGGGTAGCTGGCTGAAGAAAGCTGCTGTTTAGAGTTCACAGCTATCCTCCATCAGAAGTCATACAGCAAAAAGGAGGCTTGCTCCTGTCATCTTCTGATTGCTTTTTTCCTGTTGTTTTTACTTTGTTCCCTGGAGAGGTCAGACTGAAATAACAAAACCTTTTTTTTTTTTAATCAAGGAAAACACCATGATTTTTTCCATGTATTTATTCAGGCAGTCCCATGAAGTGTTTGCAATATAAAATAAGCACCATGGTATTGTGTTAGTGCCTGAGAACCGAAAAGTAGAGCTGGTTAATCTGTTATCACTTAATTAGTTGACTGTAGCAGAAAATAAATGGCACAGATGGATAAAACAATAAATTAAAATTCAGTTGGTCACGTTAAAGGGGTAGATACACAAACACTGTTGTATTAGGAAACTGGTATTAAGAGAAGTTAAGCTTCCTTATGTTTGCGGCTGTAATTCTTTTACAGCATAAAACAAAGGGCAGTCATTACATTTATAATGTGACTACATTCAAAGTTGTCTTGTATTTAGTTGTAGGACTATATGATGCAATATATTCCAGTTTTTATTTACTAATGTTGATTTTTACAGTAGAATGAAATTCAAACTTTACTATTTCTTTTTAATTAACCAAATATTGTGGGACCATCTATACATATATTCATTACTAAATAATTCTCTGTGAAGCATGTCTGGTTTCTGTTTGTTGGTTTTGGTTTTTGGTTTTTGGTTTTTGAGATAGGGTTTCTCCGTAGGTTTGAAGCCTGTCCTGGAACTAGCTCTTGTACTAGTCTCGAACTCACAGAGATCCGATTGCCTCTGCCTCCTGAGTGCTGAGATTACAACCGTGCACCACCATCACCCAGCTACAGCTTGTCTGTTTTCAAAGGCATTTTGTTTGAATGGCTTTTGGGTTTACTAGTAAGGATCTTATTTGTATGCATTAAGACAAAAGGCAATTTCATGTTGATTAGTTGATCCTCACGGCAACCTATGAGATAGGTAGAGGAAATACCAGTTCTCTGTTACGGATGACGAATACAAGTTCAAGAAGCCCAGCCCTTGATTTCAATGAAGTGGAGACCTGGGGTTGGATGCTGTAGTCTAAGTCTGCAGGTTTCTGCTGCGTGCAGTGCGCAGTGCTCGCAGCCCTTTGCTTCAAGTGATCTTGCCGCTGTTCTTTTGTTTATTTGGGGTCAGTTTCTTTTTCTTGGAGGGGAAATAATTGGTGTTGCTTAAAGGAACTGTTTAAGCTCCTTGGCCGTTTTGAAAGGTTGCCAGTTGCATAGTAGGGTAGAAAACCTTTACTTCATAAAAAGACTTTGAGGTAGCTTTATTACAAGAGGGAGGAATGTTTGGTGTAAAACCTTTTTTCGTGAACAGTTCATGGTACAGATAGCGGAGAGCTTGCTAATTTGTGAAGTCTCTGGTAAAGTATTAAGCAGGATAGATTAATATCCTAGTATGAATCTTCTAGATTAGCCTTTTCTTTATTCTCATCTCTATTGGTTTATAGACACTTTCAGAAGTCCATACTAAATCATAGGGAACTGGAAGTATCTGGAGTACAATTTGAGGTTTTATGAAATGTATTTTAAGCAACTCATTTGCTGCCTTTCAGAATGTGGGTTTGGAACAACTTCAGTGTCTGTTTGTAGGGCCTCCTATGTTGGAATAAAGGAGGAGTTTCAAGCTGGTAGACCGTTTATGCTTCTAGTTACTGGGATGTGCTGTGGCATTAAAGGAAAAGGCCCTCTAGTAGGGAGTACACTGCAGCTAACTCTTGAAGAGACCCGTGGGTTCGGGCTCACAGTGGGTAGTCAGCCCCCAAGGCGGGCATATGATGGGCAGCGCATGGTGGTTGGAGCGTGTGATAAAGGAGAGGAAGGTCTGGGTCTCCGTTGTCCTCCCGGCACTACCTGCTAAAGTCCGTGTTCTCTCCCTAAAGGGCCACTCTGGGACCACCTGCTTAACAGATAGGCCCTCATCCTCACATTTCTTTCCCAATAGTGGTGTTAGTAAGAGGACTGTTTGGAGATGGGAGAATTTATTTTTTATTCTAAAGATAGTTTTTCTTTATTATCTTTCATTGTTTCTAAAAATATTTAATTATGAAATACTGACTTTCCAATTTTGGTTGATTTTAAAGCTATTTCAATAGAAGCATTTTAAAAGTAAGAACATGAATTCTGGAATTGTATGCTCTGGGCTCAAATTTTGCTTTACAGTTTAATAACCTGATAAATTTAGTGTGTTTTAGTATTCTCATCTGTGTAATATTTTTTAAAAATTTTCTGCTTAATAAGATTGTGGATATTAAATGAAATATTTTTAAGTATTTTAAGACAGTATTTACATTTTTGGATCAGGGGTCATTTCAAGACAGGGTTTCTCCATGTAGCCCTTGGTGCTCTGGAACTCACTCTGTAGACCAGGCGGCCTTGAACTCAGAAATTTGCTTGCCTCTGCCTCCCAAGTGCTAGGATTAAAGGTGTGCGCCACTATGTCCAGCATCCCTTGATCTTTTTTTTTTTTTTTTTTTTTTCTGAGCAACCATTGGAGGCTGTCCTGGAATTAGTTCTTGTAGACCAAGCTGGCCTTGAATTCACAGTGATCCACCTGCCTCTGCCTCCCAAGTGCTAGGATTACAGGCATGCATGCCACTGCCCAGCTTCCCATAAATATTTTTAAGCATGCCTAATCTGTACGAAGCTCTTACTAAACATTACTGAGCATTTAGCACTATACAAGGAAAAATTCTATCAGAATGTAATATTTAAGGTGCTTGTATTGTTTCACAGTTTTAAAGATGTATGAGTACACGTTCATGTACTCATGATGGTGATCCAAGGATGAGTTATGTTAGTGTGATTGTGGACAACACCCTCCATTTGTACTCTAGCAAGCATTTTGGTTTGCATGAGAAGTTGCATGGTCACAACTTCACAGAGGCTGTGACACTCTGGTCTGCATATTCTGACCAGGAGTGGCCTGGGGTTAGGTCTGTGGGCCCGGAGAGAACACTGCTAAGCACACTGGGCCTGCTGGAACTTTTGCAAGAGTAGGTAGAAGTCTAGATTCTTTAAATGTTCACCCAGTTTTTTCATCACTAACAACTAATTTAGCTTTTGTAAAAGCAAAAACTTAACTAAAGACCTGTGTATCTTATAATAAGTTAATTATGTCCAGGTTTTTAAATGTACAGATCAAATGATGCTCCTTACATATATGCCTGTGGATTTGTGGTTTCTAACTAAGAATTAATGCAGAGAACTAATTCTAATGTGGAAACTTAACTTTTTAAAAATTGGTTAATACATCAGACTTTTTAGGGATTTTGAGTTTGTTACCATGTATATTTGAAGACATAAGGTAGGGAATGGTCCCATTTATTTACCTTGAGAAGTCTGAAGAGCATGTTTAAACAGAGAAAAATGAAGAAATAGTGTTAAATTGGCTACACTGTGATAGCCTTTGAAATTCTTTTGATTGCTTCTTCTTTGTCATGTTCATTATATTATTATTACTATATGTTCATGCATGCATTTGTGTGTGTGTGCCACAGAACACATTTGGAGGTCTGAGGACAACTTTGGGGGATCGATTCTCTCTACATTCATGTAGGTACTAGAGACTGAGTTCAGGTTGCCAGGTCCTCAGAGCAAGCAAGCACCTTTGCCCACTGATCCATCCCACTAGTTCTATTTTTGGATATTTTGGTTTTGGTTTTCTATTTGTCTTTTGTGACAAAGTTTCTCTGTGTAGTCCTGGCTGTCACAGTATTCACTCTGTAGACCAGACTGCCTTGGAACTCAGATCTGCCTGCCTGTGCCTCCAGAGTGCTGGGATTAAAGGCATGCGCCTGCGCAACCACCACCACCGCCTGGTCTGTTGTCTTTAAACAGGGTTCTGTGTGACTCCAGCTGACCTCAGACTCCCTAGTAGCTGTGAATGACCTTGAACTCCTACTATCTTCTGCCTCCACCTCCCAAATGCTTGGATTAAGGTTACACAACCATATCTGGCCCTAAAATCCTTAATGAATTAAGTGACAAAGGACTTTCTGAAAGTGATAAACTTGGTATGTAATTACAATAGTTAAAATTAGAACTGTCCGTGTTGGAGGCAGAAGTCACGGAGCCAGTGCTTTTACACAGAGTATCTTCGTGTCTGTTGTAGCTTAGATTTCTTGAACTTTGCATTGTAAATTAATTTTTAAATTTTCTCGTTTTCCTTTTAAAGACTGTTTTAAAGAAGTCATTCATATACGTCTGGATGAACTTCTCCGTGTTTTAAAATCTATAATGAATAAGCATCAGAACCTCAATTCTGTAGATCTTCACAATGCTGCAGAAATGCTTACTTCAAAAGTAAAAGGTAAGACATGTGTACAAAGGGTGGGCCATTGAGGCCAGAGGACCCTGCGACACCCTTACATTTAGCTCATACTGACTGTAGAGCCACCTCGTGGCATTGCAGGATTTGTCTGAATAAAGAATTTTGTGTATTTTGATATATGGATATACCCACCAATTCACACCTGAAGATTTCTTTATCTTAAAAATAAAAATTGTTAGACATGGTAAAAATTCTTACTTCAGTCAAACTACCAATGTTTAAAACTTGAGTTTTGTCAGTGAGTTCACCCCACTAAGGTTGTTTATTACTGTCTGCGGATCCTTTGCTGTGTGAAGACAGTCATGTTAGAAATGGTCGTTTGTAGTGACTCCAGATGGAGGAAAACAAGGCGCAGTTTGGTATGTGGAAAGGAAATTACAATTTTATCGGGTGTGTGTGGAGACGTGTGTGTGTGTGTGTGTGTGTGTGTGTGTGTGTGTTTACACACACACACACATTTATACACTAAAACAGAATTGAAAATTAGGACATTGGCCTAATTGAAATTGTTAAAAGTATTCTGGACTACATATATAAGGAAGACTGAGTGAAGGGAGTATGAGATAGGTTAGGACATTGTGAGAAACAGTAGACTAGATAAACATGGAAGATGTGAGCTTGAGGTAGAAGGTGGATATGGTCAGGCATTTGTCAGAAGGGGTTTGAAGATGTAAGGAAGAGAGAAGATTGACAGTGAAGATGGACAGGCTGGAGGAACATCTACCAGGCAGGAAGAGAAATGCAGTTTCAGAGGTGCGAAGTTTTAAGAAGTGCTCATGAGTGAAAAATGCCACTGACGAGACAGCATGGCTTCAGATGATGGCACTATAAAAAGTAGCTGCAGTGATGCGTGGAAGGTCAGAGGCACCAAGGTGGCCCAAGGTGACACAGTAAGCTGCCCATCCGAGGTGAAAGAAAGACTCATCAGAAGGAGAGGCTACCGGTCCAACAGTTTGACAATGGGGCGCAGGCTCTAAGAGCTGGCAAGGGTGAGGCTGCAGTATAGGTGGACCCTGGTAGAATTCTGGGTATAAAGAACTTGGTGAGGGTGCTGACCATGCTCATATTTGGGAAAAGGCAGAAAGGAAGTAAAAACATTTCAATAAAAATGTAGACTATATCCCCCCATCTATCCCCCCCCCCCCCCCCACACACACACATTTCTTTCCTGACTTAAGACTTTTCCTGTTTGTGTGGTTTCCTTTTTTCTATTTGAAGCGCTGGGAGGGAAAAAGTGCTGTAGACAATTTTAAGTGGAAAACAGGGGTAGCTTATTTTGTGCTTTTTAAAAATGTGCTTAGTAACCAAATTTGTTTTCAAGTAGGTTGTTTACAAGTGCCATTTAACTTTACTTAGATATGGAAATTTGTGTCTATAGATAGTAAAATTTCCATGCTTGGAAATAGGGACTTAGTTCAATTGTTGTCAGTGGCTATTGTGTGTGGTCAGGATGTCCTGGGGAAGGAGTGCACAGCCTGTGGCTGGGTCCACATTCCAGAAACAGACCTGAAGCGGGTGCTCTTAACATAGAGCAAGCTTTTTGAATATTATTTCTCAAGGTCTCAGAATTATTGCTACTATTTTACTGTGGTGTTAGATGAAATTGGAAAAAGAAAGATAAAATTGATTTGTTGGTGGAAAACTTTCTGTAGGATTCCAGTGAAACCAGAAAATGTTAAAAAGGGTTGGGGCTTTTTTGTTTTATTTTTGAGGCCCTCCAAAATTACTGAGTGACCTGAAAAGTCGAGGTTAAATCAGAATTTATTTAATAGTAATTTAGTTTTCAAAGCCTGAAAAGGCAAGGAATAGGTAGAAACCATTTCTCTGAATTTAGGAACCAAAAGTCTAAATGTGTTGATATTTCCATCTTTGGTACAGGGGATCCCTGTAAATGTACATTCCTATTTTCTTCATTTGGAGAGAAACTTCAAGAAAATCTAGTGTGTGACAGGATCAGAAAGGTGTAGAAATGTAGGAGTCATCTAGACCATTACACAGTCTTAGCTCACTACAGTTGTGTCTTTAAGAACCGCAGTGACCTGAGTAGCTGTCTTACTTTGGACACATTAACTGTCAAATGACAGATTTCAAAATTGCCAGACTGTTCAAAACAAATTAAAAAACATAACACATAATAACTTGAGGGCTATATAGCCCTGTTTGTGTTGCCACAGGTTTGAATTCACACAATGTATCTAGTTTTAAAACGGAATCTTTCCGTTGCCTTTTTTAAATTTTTTACTGTAAACATAGAATTTACCTTGTAATAACTTTAAAAGACAAGTCCTTAGCTTTCTCCCATTCATGCTGGCAGTGATTTGTAGTTCCTGTGTCTCTTTCTGTTTCCAAGCAGGAAGTTCAGTTGACAAAATATTTGCAATATGGTAAGAGAGATACAGACTATTTCTGAAGCAGATAAAGATGTCTACAGATGTCAGTAATTTATGATGTACTTAGTATTTTCAACTGTTTGGGTCAGTTTTATTGATAATATAAATGAAAAGAAATTTTTGTGTCTTTCATCTGTATATTGCCCTGTATTTATGTTGGCAAACTGACAAAGAAAAACCTTAATTGCACACAATTTTGAAGCTTCATCTTTCTCTTCTGCAAACCTAATTTTTCAACATGAAGTTCATTCATACAGTTCAAAATAAAAATGGCTCCAGAAGATATTCAGTAGTGAAGCTTGCTTTTTCAGATCTTAGCCATTCATTCTGGCTCTGCAATAGACCATGACTATCATTGATTTCTTTTGAATCTTTCCAGAGTTACATCACACATATAAACAAGCAAGCATGTGTATGGTTCTCCTTCTTTACCTCGGTGCTAAACAAATGATTGTACTCTACTGCTTGTTCATTTGTCTGCACATAAAATGTTGCCCAGTTCTTTGGCTTTTATTTTTTCCAAAACTGCATGAATATACATAATGCTGACAGACTATATTAAACAGCTCATTCCTGGAGGATGCTAGCATTGTTTCCTACTGCTGCTTCTGTGTGAAGCCGTGCAAATTCCTAGTATGTGGTATTGAGAGAGCTTGTGTCCTTGTAGTTTTGGTACTGCCAGGCATCCTGTAAGACTCTGCCCTCTGATGCTGTGAAAGGGGCTGATTCCCCTGCCTCTGCCAGCAGTGCTAGTAGTCAGTATTTGTTACTCAGGCTTGTAGTCTTGGTATAGATTCGATCTGCATTTTCTCCATTGTGAGTGCAATTGAATATGTTTCAAGAGTCATTTGTATACATCCTTTTATTTGAATTGGTCTATTTTCTCTTGGTGTTTGATAGTTTTTAAATATAAATGATTTACAGAAACTCTTTTGTATTTCTATCATTTTACTGCAAGCTATAACTTTACTCATTCTGTGATTTATCTTTTGGTTTATTTTTGCATTTTAACGTATCAATTTTTTGTAATAACGTGAGTTTTAGTTATTAGAGTGGCCTTCCTTACTCTGTTTCACCATTCTCTAGACTTTTTTTTCCTAAAGTTTTATGGTATCATTTGTTAAATCTAAAGCTTAGAGAGGCAAAATGTGTGTTTTTTTAAATGAAGCCGGTAGTAGTAGTAGTAAGAATGAAAAGAAAGGAAACATTTTAGAAGCAAAACGTGGAGCTAAGCAATGTATAGGAAAAAGCAAGAAGAAAGTAGAAGAAACGTGAAAGAAACCATTGTAAATGTTAGTCTGTAGCATGCAACACCAGACAAGTGGTTCCTCGGTGGTACAGAAGTGATGGAGTTCTCTGGGGCTGGTGAGGTATAGAAGGTGCAGTCTAAGATGAGCTCTGTGGGGTAAAAAGTCTACAGATGGGTGCAGAACTGAGGAAGGGTTCACCTACCTACTGATCCCAGCCTCTGTACCCTAAGAGACTTGATGTTTCTCATTCTGTCCTTGATGTGCTGCCTCACATGTAAAGACAGTAAGTTCAGGTAGTCTTTTAGCCCTGGAAATGGTCAAGGTCAGAACTGAACCCTCCTCTCAAACTTCAAAACTTTACTCTTCCGTGTAGTTTAACAAATAACTTTTAAGAGAGTAGAGTATTTCGTGTGGAAGGAAGTGGTTAACTTTGTAATAATTAGTAAGTATAGCTAATATTATTTAGGTTGTTAAGCTCGTTACATGGATGAACTCACATAATCGTCACAATTCTGAGATTAATAAACCTGTCAGATCAGCTCTCCCTGGGCAGATAAGGAAGTCAAGTGTCCTGAGAGGTTTGTCCAAGGTTGTTGGCGTATTAAGTGGTAGAACAGCTGAAAGTTGAAGCTAAGTCAAAGATATTAAAGAGTAAGGTAAAGAACACTTCCGGTACTCCCTGATGGAAAGTTGGTACTGATGGTGCTATTTGATCCTAGTTTTCCAAGACCATTTAGTTCCCACAGCAACTTCTGAAGTTGTAATTAATCCACTTTATCAATGAGAAAACTGGGGCTACAGTTGTTAATGCTTCAAATATAGGAAGAGAAGGAGCTAATGCTTAGCCTAGGTAGGCTGTTTGTAGAACCTGTCTTCTTACTCAGGAGTCAGCAATGAGAGTTAGGAGGCCAAGTGAAGTTTTATGGGAACACAGGCACTTTCATTCCTTTCTGTATGGTCTGTGGCTTCCTTCATCAGAATGTAAACCCAGACATTTACTAAAAAATAATGTTGGTACAGGGCTCTGAAGAAACAGAATAAGAAGACATCTTATTGTCCAAAGACTTTTCTGAAACTGAGCAGGGGCACCAAGGATGAAGCATATTAGAATACAGAGCGGCTTTGAAGGGGAGGGAACGGCATTCTCTGGAATTCTCACTAGGTGACTGAAACCTCATTCAATAGAAAGGAAGACAAAGAAAGATGGTTCAAAATTATTACCTTTTCATTACTTTTACAGTCATTATAATAATTGTGTTTCCCAATTGTGTTTAATGTCATGAAAAGATACACCAATAAGAAAGGAAGAATTATAACAGTAGTGTTATAAAGTACTCTCCAATGAAAAATTAAAAGTGGTTTTATTGAGATCTAATTGATAGAAAGCAAGCTGCTCCTGTTTTAATGCTACTGTTTAATAAATGCTGCTGCATGGACATTATTGTGCAACTGTTTGCCACAGTTAAATGCTAGAACAGTCAGATAACACTTCTCCTGCTGAGATTCTTCTCTCTGCCTGTGTCATCTTCTGTACAGATTCTGATGCTCTGTGTATTCATTTCCACTCTGTTCAAAGTACTTATAATTCCGCTCTTTGTATTTGGTCCATGGGTTACATAGAAATATGCAGTTAATTTCCAAGTATTCCAGAATTACTACTTTTTTGGGGGGGATGATATAGAGCTTATATATGGGTACTGGGTAGGGTATAAGGGTAAGGAGAATTTGGAGGGAAGAAAGAAAGAGAGAGAGATAGAGGGACAGAGAAAGAAAGGAAAGAGGAAAGGGGAGAAGAGGAGAAGGCAGATGCTGCCTCTTCAAAAGAAGAAGGGGCAGAGAGCTCAAGAATTTTTTCATTTCCTTCTAATCTTGATTCCATGTAGTCAGAGTACATTTTGAATAATTTGTATAAGTTGTACTTATTGAGAGGTATTTTATGACCCATAATATGGCTGTGTTACTAAACATGTACTTGATAAGAATTTGTGTCTTGTACATTTTGCTCCTGGATAGAGTTGTACAGAATGTCTATCTTGTCAAGTTGGTTGATAAATATCATTCAGATTTTATATCCTTCTTTATTTTATGTTTTATGTCACTTATTAAGAGGAGTATTAAAGTTTCTGTCACCGAGAATATATCCTTTTTTTCATGTAGTTATGTCTGTCAGTTTTTGCTTAAGAATTTTGCAGCTCTATACATTTATAAATACATACACAAAATAAAATTATTGTGTCCTCCTTCACTGATTCTTCAGATTATAACATTTTAAAAAATACTTCTGGACATGTCCTTTGGAAATCTACTTTGTGTAATATTAGGCAGTAAACTGAGGCAGTTTTTTAGCTTACCATGGTCAGTTTCTTGTCTTTCAAAAATTACTGCTTTTTAGCTGGGTATAATGGTGCACTCCTTTAATCCCAGTGCTCAAAGGTAGAGGAAAGTGGATCTCTGAGCTCAAGGCCAGCCTGCTCTACATGAGTTTCAGGACAGCCTGGTCTACACAGAAGCCCAAATCCTGTCTTGAAAAAATAACACCAAAAAGATTACTGCCTTTTGTTGCCTAATAATCTAATGTCTTAGAAACGGTTTCTTCTTCAGTTTGCACAGGACTCTGTTTTGTTTTTAGTTATCTTACACAGAAGTAGAATCTTCTTCTCCCACTTGACTGGGGCAAATGTCTAGAAACATTCTTATTATTTGCAGTAACTGAATCTTAAGGTTTTGGTTTTTTTTATAAGGGATATTTAGAAAAGTTTGAAAAGTAGGGACCTGAGTGCCCTACCCCGTAGTCTGCAAAGGTGTATCCATACGGCAATTTCAGGGGTTCTTGCTTCCTAACCTTATTTGCATATTTGATTCAACTTCTGTAAAAAGTAAAAACCTATGAAATCTGAATCTTTGGTGATGAAGCTATTTTCCAAACTCCAGCCAAGTTTTAAAATGACTTGTGAAGCAGAGGGTGGCTTTCCAGCTTCCTCACCGTCTTCTGTGAGCAGAGCAGTGCGGGGAGCCCAGGTTCTTACAGCGGAACGTGGGTTATTTAAAGAAAAAAAGCCCAGTTCCACCTTCATATTTTGTCTTGGTAAATTGTATCTTTGTTTTTAACAACAGTACACATAAAGAAGTTAAAATAATCTTTTCAGGTTGTATTTTATAATATTCTTTAACAAAATGCAAAATGTCAAAATATCCGTCTTGTAAACAAAAACAGCAATGTTAGTTGACATGTACCTCAGAATCCAAGAGCCTGTCGGCAGGAAATACAGCTATGTATAAGTAGGATATTAACTTCTCTAAAGTACTGGATTTTATTTTATTTTTTGTCTTTTCCATTTCTTTCTTTCTTTCTTTCTTTTATTTTATTTTATTGAGCTCTTCATTTTTCTCTGCTGTTGTCCCTGCCTCTCCCCTCTGCTTTAACCTTCCACCATGGTCCCCATGCTCCCAATTTACTTAGGAGATCTTGTCTTTTTCTACTTCCCATGTAGATAAGATCTATGTATGTCTCTCTTAGGGTCTTCATCCTCATTGTTTTCTAATTTCTCTGGGATTGTGATTTGTGGGCTGATTTTCTTTGCTTTATGTTTAAAAACCACTTATGAGTGAGTACATGTGATAATTGTCTTTCTGGGTCTGGATTACCTAACTCATAATGATGTTTTCTAGCTCCATCCATTTGCCTGCAAAACTCAAGATGTCGTTATTTTTTTCTGCTGTGTAGAACTCCATTGTGTAAATGTACCACATTTTCCTTATCTGTTCTTTGGTTGAGGGGCATTTAAGTTGTTTCCAGGTTCTGGCTATGACAAACAAAGTTGCTATGAACATAGTTGAGGACATGTACTTGAGCATCCTTTGGATATATACCCAAAAGTGGTGTTACTGGGTCTTGAGGAAGAAGTACTAGATTTTAAATGTGATGCTGTCATGCATTCTATGGTATACACAGTGTATCTATGACTCCAGTTGTTGATAATTTATATTAAGTTTTATACTTCATAATGACTTCAGTGGGCCAGCATCTTTAGCTGTTTTTAAAAATGCTAGAGTAGTGAGAAAAAAATAACTCAGAACACTTCATAAAGAGGACTCTGGACTCCCAAGACTGAATTCACAGAGTCACTGTTTAGATGTGCTGGATTATATAATGCACACAGTAATCGACTTACAATTCTAGTTACTTCTGTGCAAACTGATACTTTTGCATAATTTCCATAATAAGGAAACTTAATTATTCTATCAATTTTGTATATTTGATTTTAAGTTTCTGAATCTTTTAGTGCTTTTTGAAGTAATAGCGATTAAAAGAGTTAATGGCTTTGTATAAACCCATTTGTTGTATAAATACATTTGTTAAATGTATTTTCTTCTACTTACTGCAACTGATTTTTGCTTATAGCTGTGAACTTTACAGAAGTTAATGAAGAAAACAAAAACTATCTATTTCAAGAAGTGTTTTCCTCCATTGAAACTTTGGCATTTACTTTTGGAAATATGTAAGTAAAGACTATCATTTAAGTTAGTGAACCTGATTGTCTTAGTGAAAATATGTAGTCCACAAATTTGTCAGATATGTGAAAAATGAAATAAGAGTATCATATATCATCCCAACTTGGCAAGAGCTGCCTTCTGTGTGACTTTATTGACTGTATTTGCGAGTATCTGTAGCTCTTAGCAGCAGCCCCCATTTGCAAGTGGCTGTGTCTGGTTTATGTGATGAGAACAGTTTATTCTAGATATAGATTGAAGCTAAGAGACAGACATGTAATAACTTTTCTTTTTTATTTCCATGCTTTTTTAAACCTCTCTGGATAGCCTCACAAACTTCCTTATGGGAGATGTTGGCAATGGTTCAGTACTGCGACTGCCTGTTTCTCGAGGAAGTAAGGTAGGCCCAGCTTTGTGAAAACCAAGTCTCTATTATTACTAACTTACTGTCACAGCTGCTTCCTGATACAGATCTTAACACTGACAGGTTTGAACTTTGTAGATTACCTTATCATTTTGAGGCTAAGCAAAGAAAATTAGTTTGTTTTATATATAATAAAATGATTAGCTTCTGTAGCAATAATTTGGTTATACTTTTCTAAGTGATGTTGTATTAAGAAAGTAGCCTAATTCATGCATCAATGTTATATGGTCCAAAAGAGAAAATTTTTTAGGGGGATGGGAATATGAGTGTGGGTATATGTATGAACATGTGGAGACCAGAGATGGACATAGAAAATAGCTTTCTATCCTCTTTATATAGAGGGACAAATTAAGGTTAGGTAACCCTGAATGTTCAATTCAATGTCATATGCCTAATAGAGCTAAACTTTAGACCCTGGTGTCTTTGATCCCATTTCTCACTGAATCTGCATACGCTGTATTGCCCAGCTGTATAGATCAGATTTGTCTTAAGAATTTATTTAACCACACACCTTTAGTCCTGGCACTTTGGAGGCAGAGGCAGGCAGATCTCTATGAGTTTGAGGCCAGCTTGGTCTATATGGTAAGTTCCAAGCCAGCTGAAGCTATATACTAAGAGCCTTTATTCAAACAACAAAAAATCTTCAACTGATGATGGAAGTACAAAATAATCCCACACTAGTTCAGAATTATGTATAATAAAGGGTTATTTATTTAGGGATAGACTCACAGATCATAGTTCTAGATCACAGTCCTGCACAAATGGGGAGCAGAAATCAAATCTAGCAGCCGGAAGCTAGAGAGGAAGTGTATGCTTTACAGCTGCATTTATAGTATAAGAGACCATGCCCAAGAGGGCTGGTATCTTAAAGGCTATTGGCTGAAGGAGCTCCCACAGCACCTACCCTTTTTGTTTAAATAAGAGAGTTCCAAGCCCAATACAAAACTATATACACTAGGAACAGATATCAAGTATAAGATTAGAATTGCAATCAGCATAAACAATATTAAGCAAGGAGCATGTGCTAAATGTTTTAATAATTATTCTATCCTAAGGAGTCTAAGCCTTGTGTTAGAAATGGCTCAGCTAGCTCAGTCAGTAGAGCATGAGACTCTTGATCTCAGGATTGTGGGTTTGAGCCCCATGTTGGGCGCCCATCTGTTTTAGGAGGCCAGCTTGTTTGTTCCTGGCTGCCCAGACTTGAAACAACCACTCAAAAACTGTATTATTTAAATCACTGCTTAGCCAATCACTAAACATATTGCTAGCTAGCTCTTATATCTCTTGTTAACCCATTTCTTTTAATTTGTGTATCACCACATGGCTGTGACTTACCGGGTAATGTTCCATCTGGCATCTGTCTGCAGCGAGGCTACATGGCTTCTCCTTGACTCCACCTTCTTCCTCCCAGCATTCAGTTTAGATTTCCCCCTGCCTAGCTCTATTCTGCCCTATTACAGGCCAAAACAGCTTTTTTTAAATTAATTTACCAATAAAAGCAACAATATACAGAAGAACTTCCCACACCAATCAACAACCAAACAAAAAATTTATTTAGCAATTGAGATATTTTTAAACACTATCTAATAAGGTATAGCCATTATGTTAGTAGTTCTTTAACTTTAAATTGATAAGTAAAATTAAAAGTTCACTTTCTAGTTGGTTAGTCGTGTTCTAAATGCTTGTGTACCTGGTATCTGATAGACACACACACACAGTAAAATATGCAATGCCAATTTTATCACAAGAAATTTTATATTAAGCTACCTAAAAAACTTGGAAAGACATACATACCTGTGATAAAGTAGAAAAAGATGGCTGGATGTCCTCTTAAGTTTGAAGTCTGTTGTAACTGCTTCTTTAACTTCTGAACCTTTCTAGATCTGTAGAATTTGAAGTTTTATATGGATCTGTTGATGTTACTAATCAGGTTAAATGAGTTCATTGTTGAATGTTGGGAACTATAGTTGTTGCAGTGTTGTGGTATTTAAGCAGACTTCTTAGACGCTTTGAGTTTTAAATACTTGAAATTCTTGAAAAAGAATTATGTCAGAGTAATAAAATTGAAAACAGAATTTTTGGAAACAACGGTATGTTGTTTTCTGCTCTAATCTTAAATTTCTTTTCTTCCATGTATTTAGTCTTTTGAAAACATTTCTGTGGACTCAGCGGACTTACCCAATGAAAAAGGTAGTGTTCAGAACTTTATTAGATAGTTTGCATTTTCTTTCAATAAGTATTTTGTATCGCTTAATCTCTTTGTACTTTGGAATCTAGTATATTCATTTTTAATACAAAAGTATACCAAAAGTTTTACATATAAAGCATAAAGAGAGCCGAGTGGTGGTGGTGCATGCCTTTAATCCCAGCACTCAAGAGGCAGAGTTAGAGGCCAGCCTGGTCTACAGAGTGAGTTTCAGGACAGCCAGAGCTACACAAAGAAACCTGACTCAAAAAAACAAAAACAAAAAAGTGTGTGTGTGTGTGTGCGCGCGCACGTGTGTGTTTGCACGTGTGTGCGTGTGTGTAAGAAACCTTGCTTGAGTAGATGGTATGATGATGCAAACATCATAATTACATACAGATTGTAACTCAACAAACAATAGAAATACATATTCATATAAAAATACAGGAGCTGGACATACAGTCGCTCAGTGGTTAGGAGCATTCACTATTCTGGCAAAGGACCTGGGGTTGGTTTCTGGCACACACAGGGCAGTTCACAACTGTCTGTACCTCTAGTTTCAGGGGATTTGACTCCCACTTCTGGCTCTGTGGGCACCAGGCATGCATATAGTGTCCACCATTCATATTTTAAAGATTTAAAAATACAGTATAATTTTAAGTATAAACAGTGGCCTTTTATAGATTTGTCCTTTGAATTTTTAACTAGTTTTTGTTGATTAATTTCTAAGGATCCAAGTACTTCTTTTTTAGAGTTATTATGTATTCATACTTAACTTATACTTATTTTGATGTTTGTATTTTCAGGAAATTTCTCCCCTATAGAACTAGACAACTTGCTGTTAAAGAACACTGACTCTGTAGAATTGGCTTTGTCCTATGCTAAAACATGGTCAAAATATACCAAGAACATAGTGTCGTGGGTTGAAAAAAAGCTCAACTTGGGTGAGTTCTCTATTAAAGTATCTAGCTTTAAACATTAGCACTAACTTGTTTATGGTTCATTTTCTGCAGAGTGAAAGTTTAATGATTTCTAATTAGTGGTTATTTTAGTAAATAGAATTTCTTTTTGTGATGGGCTTTCTTATACTAAATATACAAAGTAGACATTTTATGTAGGCTGCTGGAGGTAGACACACAAAGAACACTGTCTCTGCCTGTGAAGAGGTCTTACTATAATGGAGTGAAAGCACAGCCCATAATAAGGTAAAGGAGGAGAGCCACGGTGGATACACAAGCAGAAAGGAAGCATGGCAGAAACAGCTCAGTAGTTTTTACTGTGTTTTACAGCTGAGAAAATGTTTTTGTATCCATTATTTTACCTAATCCCCTAATACTTGGAAAGCAGGCAAGACAGGATTGTTATGCCCATTTTCTAGCACCATTCCGAAGGGGCACAGCAGGTTTGCTTATAAACATGTGGCATATTTGGAGGGGCATAGGGTTCCTCAGTGCCTGTGATCAGACTCACTGGGTTAGATCTCGCTCTGACAAGTGAGAGTTGTGCATGTGTGTTTGCAGAGCTCCCCTGCTGATTCCTGTGAGCAGTTAGATTAAGGATTGCTTACTTATACCATGGTGCATTCTGATATGTGTGATCACTTTTTAATTGAAGAAGCACAAATAATCTTAGCGCATATATAGAGAAGAATGTTAATTTTTGTCTTTTAAACCTTTTCAGAATTGGAATCCACTAGAAATATTGTAAAATTGGCAGAGGCAACTAGATCAAGCATTGGAATACAAGTAAGTGTTCTGTGAACTCCTCAGGTTGTACCAAGAGACTACTTAGTTAACCTTCCAATCAGTTCATAGAGAAAAAGGACTTATTGAAAAAGGGCAAATTTAAGTGACTATTCCTTAGGAATAAAACCAGAGTGTTTACAATTTTATACAAATACCTATTTTGAAACTGATTTGCTAACTAGTCCATAGTTTCAATATTTTTCTCGCATAGACACAAGTCATTTTACTAGAAAAAATAATCTAAAGTTATCTTTTTGAAGAACAGGGATCTGTCTAGAACTCCAATACCATTCTTTTCTCTAACATGTCAAATTTAGGTATTGAACTTTAGCATATCAGGCAAGTACCTCTAGTATCATGCTATTGTAAAACTTCCCTTTCAACTTTAAATTCTAGGAGTTTATGCCACTGCAGTCTCTGTTTACCAACGCTCTTCTTAATGACATACATAGCAGCAACCTGTTGCAACAAACAATTGCAGCCCTCCAAGCCAATAAATTTGTGCAGGTAAAAATTATACCTCTCTCTCTCTCTCTCTCTCTCTCTCTCTCTCTCTCTCTCTCTCTCTCGCCTGTCCTGGAACTCACTCCATACAGCATATTTTTAATAGCATACCTTTACAAAACAACTTACTTCTTTTTAATATCCTTAATAGCCTCTACTTGGGAGGAAGAATGAAATGGAAAAGCAAAGGAAAGAAATAAAAGAGCTTTGGAAACAGCAACAGAATAAACTGGTTAGTATTATAAACTGGGTAGTATTATACTAGAATTTCACGTGTTTGTTTTTGAACATCTAAAATCACCTACTGTAAATAAACTACCTGTCTTACTCTGGGTTCCCTAATGTACTGCCTTGTAATCTGTAGAATGTTCTTTTCTGTGTAGCTTGAAACAGAGACAGCTCTTAAAAAGGCAAAATTGCTATGCATGCAGCGTCAAGATGAATATGAAAAAGCAAAGTCGTCCATGTTTCGTGTGGAAGAGGAGCAGCTAAGCTCAAGTGCTGGATTAGCAAAAAATCTGAACAAACAGCTAGAAAAAAAGCGGAGGCTGGAAGAAGAGGCTCTTCAGAAGGTAGCATTTTTGTTATGTGAAGCTTGAACCAGTATTCTGTGCTTCAGATTAGGCTTCAAACTTCCCAGGAGTCGGGTCACCAGGAAAGCATGCTCGGGCTGCTGGGGCTCACCCAGAGTTCCTTACTCTGCTGGTAGACATCCACACTCTGGCAAGCTATGCTGGGATGCTTGGGAGTTTGTGAAAGAGGGATCTTAGGATAGTGGTTTCTTATTTCTGATTCGATTATAAAGTCTGCGTTCTAAGGAAGTCTGTGTTACATACTGCTGACAAGAATAAGCCAAGGCTTTGTATCATTTATGTATATATTAAGTTTAATTTGACAAATTCTGTAAAACAAATGGTAAATATAAGTAGGAAGTGCTTTTTAAAATAGAAATGAAAATATTTTGTATGCAAACAGTATAGTAATTGCAAATTACCCCCAGCAATTAAAATCAAATGCTCTTAAATTGCCAACCAAAATGATGCTATTTATCTTTAAATTATTTTATTATTTAAAATACATTTCATAGTACTATATTTAAAATAAAAATATTTCAGAATTTTCATAAAGACTTCCCAGTTTTTTAAAATATATCTTTATAGTAAGTTTTTTGATATAAATTCTAATGATTATTGTTATTTGTTTCTGTGATGTATTGAAGGTAGAAGAAGCAAATGAGCACTATAAAGTCTGTGTAACAAATGTTGAAGAAAGACGGAATGATCTAGAAAATACCAAGAGAGAAATTTTAACACAACTTCGGACACTTGTTTTCCAGTGTGACCTTACACTTAAAGCTGTAAGTTGTTTCTCCATTTATTTAAAGACAACAGGGAAAAAGTCTTGGAAACCATAAGTTTTAGTTGCTGAGAGATATAAATTTTGAGATTCAGAGAACATGGACTTTCGGTTTCTAATAGTGATCTATAATTTGAGTTACCTCTTTTCTTTTTATTGAGACGGGATCTGGTAAAACTGAACCAAAAACAATTTATGTAAAGACAAAGGATCCTAGGTCACATTTCATTTATGTCTTTCAAGTATTTTATTTATTTATTTATATTGATTTTTCAAGTATGTTATAAAGAGTTTTTATATTCAGCAGGCTCTTTTATCATGTAGTTGACAAATATGTGAATATAAATCTGTTAACTGTCATCATAGTTGGGAACCAGATTCTCATCACTCAGTATTTGTTGTAGGAGGTCGCTTGTTTGTTCCCAGCTGCTCAGTACCGAAATAACCACACAGAAACTGTATTAATTAAAATCACTGCTTGGCCCATTAGCTCTAGCTTCTTATTGGCTAACTCTTACATAGTAACTTAACCCATTTCTATTAATCTGTGTTTTATGGCCACGAGGCTGTGGATTACTGAGTAAAGTTCCAGCGTCTGGCTCCAGGGGGCTACATGGCTTCTCTATGACTCCACTTTCTTTCTCCCAGCATTCAGTTTAGTTTTCCCCACCTAGTTCTACTCTGCCCTAGAAAGGCCAAGGCAGTTTCTTTATTCACCAGTGGTATTCACAGCATGCAGAGGGGAATACCCCATCACCTCCCCTTTTAAATAAAAGGAAGGTTTTAACTTTAACATAGCAAGATTACATACAACAAAACAGGTATCAAGCAAGAATAACTGTTACAACATTTATATCTACTTTATCTTTCATCATAACTAAGGAAAACTATAACTATATATCCTTCGACTCCATCAGAGACTCCAGAAGGATCTAATATTACCTATGTAAACAGAAAGGGTATTTATTGTAAGCAACTTCCAACTCAAATTGAGAGAGACATCTTTCTGCCTGGACAGTCACCCAAAGTTCTTCTGTACTATTGGGGCATCTGTCTTCAGCCTACAGGCCCATAGTATCCAGCAGACTTTTCCATGAAGCAGGAAATTTCAAAGACAATTCCACCTATATTGGCAGTTTGTCAGTCACTTTCTTCTGTGTCCTGCAGAATGTCTGGCAGACTCTTTCATGAAGCAGGAACGCTGAAGGACTGTCTTACCTTTAGGCAAGTTCAGCATCCATTTCTCTGTGGGTCCTGCATTTCTATACAGCATAACATCAAGCAGTCCAGGCAAGAGCAGTTTCTTGCCCAAATGGCTAACCAACGAGCCTCTTCAATGCCCATCATCCTCTTGAAATATTTGGTGCTGCCAAAAGCAGATGTGTCTCATTGTCATGAAAAGTCCTAAGTTTTTAAACATTTTAAATGCCATATTCTGTAGTCTTTGAAAGGTTTGAAGAATGTCTGTCCATCTGAAATACATCTCTCTACCTCTAGAAAATCTAACATGACTACAAGCTTGACTATTATAGATGATTATCTATTAACCTATATTTCTTAATTATACATTACATTTTTGAATGAGCTGGACAACACAATAACTTAATCATGATCAGAAATACATATACACAGTATAACAAAATTGACCTTAAATTTGTATCAATAAACCAAGATCCATAGCAATGCAAATCTCTATAGTAAATGTCTCCTATGTGTTGTCAGTTGCTGCACATACACCTAATCCCTAGCAATAGTGATGTGTTCTCCATCTTGTTAATTATCTATAAAAATATTAGAATAAAGTTTTTTGTATCTCATGTTTTCTAACTTTTCCAATCTCATAAATGAACTAATAAATTGTACATGACCTTTTGAAACAGACTGCTTTTAACAGCCTACTGTATCAACATCCATTTGTCTGTGGATATGTGTGTTGTTTGTAGTTTGGGGATCATTATGAATAAAGCTCCAAAAATTATTTGTTGACAAATTTTTGTTGAACATAGTTTTCATATTTTAGAGAATACACAGAAGTACAACTTTCAAATGCATGGTTAACTCAATAAGAAACTACAAGATAGTTTTCCAGAGTGGCTCTAGTCAGTATGATTAGAATTAGAATCAGAATTCTAGCTCTGTGTCCTTGATATTGTGACATGCTTTAGCTGCTTTAATAGTTTCAAGTGCTTATTTACAATTTGGCTATTTTAAATTTTAATTGCTTTTTTTGTTGTCATTTTTGTATGATTGAGGTTGCATATATTTTCTCTCATTTCAAAGCTTTTCTGTTACACTTTTAGCAGTATCTTGTAGGGAGACGTTTTTGATTTTGTTAAGTCTATCTTGTTTGGGTCATGCTTTTGATGTTATGTCTAAGAATATTTCACTTACCACAAGGTCAGAGAGTTTCCCCCTTTGTTTTGTACTAAAAATTGTAGAGTTTGACACTTACATATATAGTCCATGTTGAGTTCATCTTTGTGCAAGGTGTGAATGGAAGTTGTTTTTGGCATATAGACATTATATTAAAATCATACCTAAAGGATTTTAATAAATGCCAGCACAAAAAGGGTAGTGCCAGAGAAAGAATTTATTTCTTATGTTTCCCAGTAGAAGAGAAAATAAAACACACAATACTACAAAGGGAATGGCAGCTTTGGCAGGCAGAAAGTCTTTTCTGTGTAGCATTGGCTGTCCTGGAACTCACAGAGATCCTCCTGCCTCGGCCTCCGAACCTCTATTGGAAATTAGATATAGTGAGTGTACACCTGTAATCCTAGCGTTTGAGAGCTAGCAGGCAGGAGGATCAAATCCAGTGCCATAATCACAACAAATAGGGAAAATTCCTAAAATGTTGGGGCTCCCTCAAGAAAGTCAAAGTAAATACAAGAGTACACATAGTTTGGCTTGCCTGCTTTGCAGAATTCAATGAGCTTTGGGAATGAGACATGAGACTTTCAACCTTATACTCTTGGTTCACTTTGGGCAGAGGAAATTGTCTTGATGTAGTAGACACATTGGTCAGGACTATGAACTTGGGACTTCCTAGTCTTGTATATGAAGATGTGATGTTCTCCAAGCTCTTGTCTTTTCAAGTGCTATTTCTCCCTGGCCAGCTTTTAAAGATGTAGGTAGGTAGGTCGGTCGGTCGGTCGGTAGGTAGGTAGGTAGGTCGATCAATAGGTAGGTAGGTAGGTAGGTAGGTAGGTAGGTAGGTAGGTAGGTAGGTAGATAGATAGATAGATAGATAGATAGATAGATAGATAGATAGATAGATAGATAGA